CCCCGGGATCCCTTCCCAAAACTCAAGATACTAACAAGGTGTCTGTCTGTAGCGAAGCATGGCGCTACACAGGCCGCTTCTCCCGCTGGAACCGATTCCGCCGCGCGCTTCCCGGTTTCGGCACCGCGTCGGTGGCGTTTGCGGTGTATTTGGCGTATGAGCACTTCTTTTTGGAGGAGGAACATCATGGGGAGCATGGCGAGGGGCATGGGGAGCATGGGGAGGGGCATGGGGAGGGGAAGCACTAGATGGGATATAGGGGGACGTGATAGACGGGGGGAGGAAGGACGGGGGCTGGTGGGTAGTAGGATAGGGTACGAGGGAAGGGCATCAGGGAAGTGAAGAGAAGAGACCAGGAAGGGAACCTGGGCGGGGTTGGGTTCGAGAGCCACGAGACGCCATTGAATCAGGAGAAGAGGGCGTGACGGTGGTCTGCAGGCAGCTAGGGCGGCGAAGGGCTTCGTCTGGCTGTTATGTCTCCGACAGTGTGTATATGCGGAGTTGATGCGGAGCCTGGACGGTCAATATCAGGATCCGGCTAGGAGAGATGAGGTAAAAAACAAAACATTTACACTACTCACATCTTGTCTGCACGACACTTGAGGACCGCGATAAGGGGTTGGGCTAAGGAGTATAACGACAAATACCAGGTGTCGAGACGCCAGGGAGGGACCTCTCATTTTCCTAGGTTGAATTCGGAACTTCACGGCAGTACAATCTCAAATAATTGACAGATAAATGTTTCTTGTCACTAGATGACCCAGTCTATATACCCCACGCATGCAAACACAATGCGAAATGGAATTGGCTACCGCCGAACGGAGGGTCCATATGTACATACCGCTGAGAATATAAAACAAAACACCAACGCCGAGGTCTCAGGCATGCTCAAGCAACGCTAGGCCAGCTGCGCGGCTTCAAAGGCCGATCCCATTGACTAAATCCAACGCTCCTTCGACAGCCACCTCCAAGTCCCCAACCCTCGTCTTTAAATGTCTGTTCTCGTCTCTGAGTAGTCCCACCGTATCCCAGGCCACACTTGCGTCCTTGCCTTTGCAGTTTGTACACCCCGACGTCTCGGCCGGTTCCCCCGAGATCCCGCCCAGTATCCTTCGAAACGCGCTCATAGGGGGCCCGGCCTTTTGCTTTGGCGTACCGCTAGCCGAACCGGTCCCGGCATTCCTAGCCTGAGGAGTCCTGGACCCTTCCGTAAACCCCCTGACAGACCCGGTATCCAGAACACTCGCCGGGGCGTTGGTGTTCAGTGGCGACTGCAATGGCAGCGCCGGGCTGCGACACCTCGAAAATACACTCTCACTCTCTGCGCTCTCGTTCTCGTCGTCCGTAGTGCACTCCTCATCCTCGCCTGATGAGCTCTTCCCCTGACTCGTTCTTATCCGCCGGCGTCGTCTCCTTTCTTCGTCCACCCCAAGATCTTCTGATACTACAGAGCCCCCCTCGCCTTCCGATGGCGCTATTCTTATCGAGCCTGCAGCCGCGGCCGCTTCCGCTTTGGCCCTCAAATTTCGCTCGTATTCCAACTCCCCCATCAGACCCTTCATGACTTCCTCTTGCTCCTGAGTTCGCCGCGCCATGCCCTCGAGTTGTACCTTTAGGTGCGCCGCCCGGGTGATCGCCTCTTCCAGTTCATCTTTCTGTGCTGACCGCTCGGCTTGTAGGTCGCGGAGGGTGGTGGTCTGTTCTCGGTAGGCATTTTGCAGCTTAACGAGGAGCCCCATCGCATTCATTTGCAGATTCTTAAAGGCGGCCGGCGAGAACGAGTCGCGCTGCCCCGATGGGGAAGACGGTGTGGGGGGAAAGAGGGCTGACTCGAGGTTGATCGTCAAGAGTTCATCTTGCTGGGTGGACTTGGCGGTAGGTGGACTCCCCGTGGGCGTGGTGTTGAAGCGGGCTGATAGCGCAGACATGAAGCGGGATGCGGCGGTTGTCGTGGGAGCTTTGGGCGTCTCTAGATTTGGCGCGGTGGTGTTGGGGGTACTGGATGATTCTCGTTGCTGGGTCGGCGTCCCGCCAGGAGTCGAAACCGACTTAGACGGCTCTTGTGGTTGAGACATGTCGACGGCGTTTGCTGCTCCGGCGCTGCCACTCAACCACCCCACAAACCCTCCCCCACTTCGAGGGGTCCCAGTCGTCCTCCCTTCACCGGTGTAAGGCATCTGTTCCGACGGCGATCGGCTGTGCGGCTTTCTGGTCGGTGACGGCGTCCTACTTTTGAACGAGAGTGGTAGTAGGTTCGGAAAGGAGCTCTGACGCTGATGAGTCTTCACTCCGCCGAAAGGAGAACCCAAGTCCTCATCCGCAAAGCCGCTGTGATATTCTGACAACGGCGAGAGTGGCGGGCGTGATCCGTTCAAGCCATGCTGGGGCTGCGCCTGTGACTGTGACCGCGACGGAGAATGTGTGTAGGTTTGGCTGTGTCGGAGTGGTGAACTGGGTGCTGTGTATGACTGCCTCTCGAGTTGCTGCCGTGGGGAGACGTATCCATTATCCGGGCCTTTGGCTTGCGTTTGTAATGCGCGTGCCGGTACGGAACGGGATGGAGTGCGCACCTCCATAGGCGGCGGGGAGGAGAGTTGCGGGTCGGAGCTTAGCATAATGTGCTAACGTTTCGGCCGCCCCGTGGGTATCCCTGGAATCTGATCTCGCTTCCCGTTGGCCAGTGCTCGTTTCGTTTTATGAAGATCGAAACGTTGACCGTCACTTTCAAAGGTAATTAATATTTGGCTGGCGGATCCTGCGCAGGGCGACAAATGGGCGTTCCAGAACTAGTCGTGGCGATGGCGCTCTCCCACGTTGTCAACCCCAGCTCTCTCGGTCTCCAACAACGGTGAGAGCTTCCAGGGTCCTTCGACTCAAGTCGCGTTATCTCTCACAACCGCAGGACTTGTCGCGGGCCTAACGAGCCCAAGCCTCTTCAAGAGGCAGGGGAAAGCTTCAGGGAATGGCCAATAGGTTGAGTACGAGGGGCGAGTCCCAGGATAAGAATGTGACAACGCAACGGCGATGAGTCGTGAGCTCGTTTCGCTGTCACCAGGACCGCGCGAGTGGTGCTGCTTTCCCCCGGCAGAAATACGGGGCTGCGTAACAAAACGAAGAACGGGCTAGTAACCGTAACAAAATTGCAAGGCGAATAGGATATCGATTAGAAAACACGCGCTGGTCTCGACTGCTGGAAAGAGAAAAAGAGGCGCTGGAGGAAAATAAAAAAAAAATATCGACAGAACAGAACGGGAATCGCAGCCGGGCCGGGGCTCTGTTTACTGCGGACAGGAGCGGCAAGTGCTTTCCCAAGTTGGGGCTGGTTTCCAGGGTCTTGGGGCGATGGGGTGCGCGGTAGGCCCCACTCGGCCGTCTGCCAAGGCAAGCTTGGGGTTGCCCCGAACAGCGACCGTTGATTCTCAAGTTGTGAACCTTTGATTATATGGTTAGTACTTTCTCGGAGTCGCTTGAATGACAGAATGAGGGGAAGAGCAAGCTAAGGTCTTCGTCTCTAGGCAACGGCCCGGATGTCGCACCAATGCTGTGCTCCTACGTGGTCAACGGCAACGTTAGCTGCAAAACAGGCGACACAAGAATGTCTCGAATCCCCCCGATGGGCTTGAGCCGAAAACGGCCGTCGTTCTCTCAGCCTCTGCCGATCCCATCGCTGGGGCCGTTGTGAAAATCATGGCTGGGAGGTTGGAACGGGGTTGCGCACACAAGTCATTTGATTTTCATTGTCGATCTCATTATGGAATCGTGCAAGGAAGCTTCATGAGCCCCATAAACTGGAGTGATGGAGAACATGGCCTGGAATTACGTGTAACTACGGATACGGATACTTCGTAACGTCCTCAAGTCAGAGGACGACGGTCTCACTGTTTTTGTGTGACCATCAACCATGATATCGCTGTAGGCCCAATCGGTGGGAAAACTCATTGAATCGATGAGACTCCCCGCCCTGCTGGCCAGGGGAAACCAACTCCCCATGTTACCAACAACGCACCCACCCCAGACACGGCGTGGTCCAACCTTGCGATGCCAATCTCACACAAAGATGAGCGGCACCATCATCATCACCCCAGTCCGAAAACCCGCTCCGTGCCTCCTTGCCTGTCTCCATCCATTCCTCGAAGCATTTTCTCCTCCATTCCCCACCTTCGCTCAGTAGAACGACTCGACTATCGTATCCTTCATATCCGTCTTGATTGCCCCCGGCGCGGCGCCCTCGCCGAGCCTGAACACGCTCTCAATAACACTCAGCTCCGGCGCAGTGGTATCAAGCCCAGTCACAGCCATCCAGTCGTTGACCACCATCCCACCACCAATGACATTGCTCCCGCGGTTCACACTGCCTGCCACAAGCGGTATCTGCAGCAGACTGCTGAGCTCGTCCTGGTCCTGGATGCTGGTCTTGGGGTGCACGAGGCCGCCCGAATTGCTGAGCGCCATGTACGAGCCGACGAGCACGTGGTCGGCGACTGTCTGCCTGAACACCTCGACGCCGAGCACGTCGGCGATGATCTCCTCTGTCTCGCGCTCTAGATCTGGGTGCACCAGCGCCGTGTGGTCGTTGGTCACAATCACGTTGCCGAGCGCTGAGAGTCGCTCTTCGATGCGTTGGATTTTGATCTCGTCTGGTAGGCTATTGCGTAGATGTTGCAGCTCTTGGTCGGTTGTCGATGTTGGGACTAGCAGGCCCTTGCGGTTTCTGGGGTGCGACAACGTTTATTAGTCTCCCGAGGCTCCTCATGAACATCCTTCGTGACAATACGGAACATACCCAGCTGTTAACCGCCCGATGATGCGCGTGCCACCGATTGTTGTCCTGCAAATGGGAATGACGTCCTGGAGCTCGGCCTCGAATACACTGTAAAAGTTCTCGCTCGCGCCGACCGCCACCAGGGCGAATGAATTTGTTAATGTCGCGAAGACGCCAACCCTAGGGACAAGGTCAGCCATGGCAATCCTATTATTTTTCTTCTCATATTTCCCCTCAAATTCCCTCCATGATATCGACCTCGCCCTATTGCGTGCCGTTGCAAAACCGCGGGGTCGATCGAGGGCGGGGCAAAATCTAGGCAAAGAACAGGCGCTGGCTTGCTTACTCGTTGGAGTTCTCGAATGATGCACGGACAGCCATGATGGATGAATCTGTTGTAATTTCTGTATGTGTCGAAAAGAAAGAAAGAGATAGGGGGTATCAAAGGGGTCTTCGCTGGGTGACCTCGAGGTCTGTCGCCGGTTGTTGCTATTGCTTTGCTGATGGGAAGTGGGTGGTGGAGGAAGAGAAAACGGCAGATATATATTACACAAGCAGAAACTAAAGTGGGGCAGACCGTTACTTCTCGTGCCCGCTTGTTCTGGGCTTGGACTGCGCTGCTACCGCCGTTGACATGTCAAATCGATCCTTGTAGTGGCTGGGGAAGTTAATCATTCTGCTTTATTCACTCCCACCGTCTTTCCGCCGTTGTGGTGGTACCAGAAGCGCGGTACACTCAAGTTGGCACTTTGACGGCGTTACGCCCAGCCTGTAATTACCACTCCCGCTCGAACAACCTCTCCCAACTTCGGCTTTTCATACATTTACAGTACATCCATTTAGTCCATTTACCCTCGAGAACACAAGTACCTCTCCAGCAAGTCTCCTGCCCCTCAGCCATTTCCTCTCTCGCCACAATACCAGAGAAGAAGAAAACCAAAAATCCATCCTTGGCCGCCGCCGAATGACTCAAAGCGACTTTCGCCTTGCCAAGCATTTCCAGGGTTGTCTGGGGCTGAGTGGTCGCCAGTCTGTTGACTCAGCATTCAGCAACGGGCAGAAACTCACTATGAATCATCGGGGAAGCCGTACATTGGTTCTGTTTCGGGACACGGGCAGCTTGCAATAAAAACAGCTCTGTAAAGCCGGTATTTTCCAACAGGGCTACTGTGTAGGTAGTAGGTTGTATCCCAGTAATTACAACCCCCCTAACGAAACAGCAGAATTATCCGCAGGCGGACTTCGTACAAACCGGTCCGACGACAAATGCCAAGACCGGGAGTGTCAGAAACTCGCCGAAAAAAAGCCATTCAAAACCTCATCAAAAATCAACCAAAATAGCACTCACCACCATTTAACCTCCATAATTATCACCATAATCCCTTCCATATCACACCATCAAATTTACACCTCCAGCTTCTTATGCGCGGTGTTGAACTCCCCAAAACCCTGTCCAAAACGCACCCGAACCCACCGCATGGCCGAGTGATCCAAGGCGCCGGGCTGTGGTGCAGGGTATGGTGCACGGACCATATTGGTATTCAACGATCAGGGTTAGGGTTGTTTGAGACTTGGTGTGGTTTGCCCAAGGCCAGTAACTGTGAATCAACTGCTAGGAGGAATTAAGTGTGCGTTGAGTGCTTAAGCTCTTTTTGACGGTGGGGTAATAATACCAGAAACAAACCGGGAGAACAATAAATATCTTGCCCTGTGATTCTCCAATCTCAACAAGAGAAACGCAGTTGGTTCAAGATAGACCCAAATATGTTCTCCCCCAACTAAGAACCCCCAAGAGAAACAGAAACACCCAATACAACACCATGAACGAACGGGAAAGGAATTAATAAGGTTCTCAATATTCAACGCTAACGACAAAAAAAACCAACGCTCTCCTCATACCGCTACCTCTCCCCACTCAGCTAACACCCCATAAAACTCAATACAATACCATTCGTGACTCAACACACACAGGGTAACCTCTCTCAAGCATACCAACCCGCACCAAGCCTACACACCATCCTTCCCAATGTAAACAATGCCACAAAGACCCAAACCCATGTTCAAATGCCTGATACCAATATCATAAACCCACGGCTATCTATACACATCCATACAATGCCCATGTCCATGTTCATGCCAATGCCCAAGCCAATGCCGATGTCCATGTCCATATCCACAGTACAGAATGCCCGTAATACACCACGGCCTTATTCACTACCGTCCATCCGCTAGACCGAATCAAACCATCCGTGACAATCCCATGCCAAACTGCACCACGGCAAAAAAAGAGCATAGCGCAAGCAAGACCAAAAACGCCCTCCGAACCCCTCCCAAGATGTACACCTCTCAAAACCCAAACACACACCCAAAGACTCAAATAAACCCATCTCCATCCTCCCTCAAGGTCATTGTTCCCTAATCCTCCCCCTAAACGCTTACAACTCAAGCCAACTCCTCAACAGCACTCAACCGCGGCCCAGCAAACCCCTTCGCAACAACAGCCTGAATATCAATATTCCTCTGCCCTCCCGCCGTCCCCGTCAAATCCGTGAACCCCCCCCTCCCTCCTCCCCCCGCCATCCCACCACCACCCTGGCCCCCCGTACCATCCGACTGATGAGGATGGGGACTCCACAACTTCAACAACAAAAACCGGCCCGACACGGGTGTATCAAACCGCACGATCCACTTGTTGTGTTCCTTTTCGATGAAAAAATGGGCTAGGGGGGCCATGAGTTCGCCGCCTACGGCACGGACGGCTTCTTGGGTCGCCAGCTGGGAGGCTTCGCGGGCTTGGTCGAGGGTCATGGGGCCGGTGCCGCTGGTAGCAGTAGCACCGCTGGTGTTGGGGTTGTAGTTGGGTGTGGGATTGTTGGATTCGGTTGCGCGGCCTGAGCTAGGGAGGTCGACGTTGGATTGGTTCGGGTTCCGAGGCCGTGGGTGGTGATACCGTCGGCGAACGCGGGTTGTTTGGGTGAGCGGGGCATTCACAGGGGGCCAGTGGCGGTAGGGGCCGCCAAAGATCTGGATATGCTCTTCCTCCTCGTCGTCGTCGTCATTGTCATCGTCGTCGCTATCGCTTTCAAATGGCAGGGTGCCGATTCGGTTTGGGGTACGCCGGGGTGGCGGTCGGGCGTGGGGTAGGCGGCCTGCGTCATCATCCTCGTCCTCGCTATGCTCGGTGGTTACATGGAAAGGATGTGAGAAGGTGGTGAACTCGGGGGGGATCTGGGCGGACCGGGTTTCTTCGTGCTCGTCGTCGTCCTCGTCACCGTTGTCGTCATCATCGTCGTGGACGCTGTAACTATACGCCCGCAGTGGTTGTGAGCCGGTCCGGGTTTGGCTATCTCCCTGGCCGGGGACATAAACAGCACCGCGGCGATGGTTTCGGGGCTGGTATTGGATTTGATATTGTGCTGTGCGAGTAAAAAGGTCATCTTGCTCCATGGACGCGAAAACCATGCCTTCACGGACACTGCAGTGAAATGGGACGGTTAGCAAAACCCGAAAATAAAACGCTAAAAGAAAACCAAAAAACAAACGTACGGGCATGAGAATTTCGAGCCAGGGGCCTTGATCACCAGCTCCTGAAGACTGAAGACGGTCCCGCCCTGGTGCTTCAGAACAATATTGCAGCGGTTGCTCTTGGTACAGTAGACGGACTTGTCATTCTTTAAGATATTCTCGGGCGGGTAGGCCAAGGAGTGCTCGTCAGAATACACCCCGCCATCGCAGCTCACAATCTCCATCTTCAGCTCGCCAGGTTCGAGCTGACCAAACCTGCCATACCGAAACCCCTTGTAACTCTGCGCGGCCCGGCCCGTATCTAGCTTGCGACGCTTCATACGCGGGTTCTGCTCGAATCCGCGATCGTCCAGGGGCGGAGAGACGGCCGACTCCGGGAGCGGCCGGGCGGTGGGGGGGTTGGTATACTCCATGAGAGCGCGTAGTTGGGCGTCGGTATCGTGAATATTTCGGTTGATGTCGTCTAGCGTAGCCCCGAACTGCACGCGGAATCTATCGGCAGAGCGGCCGGGTGGGCGATATCGGCTGGAGCGAGGTCCCGATCCGGCAAAGACAGAGGAGGGCGGGTTGCGCGCTCTCGGGTCGGCCGATCGGAGAGACGGGAGCGAGGGCGAGGCCGCAGCGGCAGCGGTAGACGAAACAGCAGAGGTACCGGGGGGTTGGGGATCACGGTTGAATCTTGGTCGTAAATCCCGGTTGGACCCCGAGGCCATATTGCCCGTGGGCTGGTACGCGGGTGCTGTGGGGGGCGAATGGGCGAACAGGTGCTCGCTGAGGCGGTCGAAGTCGTGGTGGAACTGCTGGATTACGGCGTACAACCTCTCCGATGCGCTATCGGGCGGGCGGTCATGGGAGGTAGGTCGCGAGGCGTGGAAGCGGCGGATGGTGCCGTCGGCGGCTCGAAAGGTTCCGGGTTCTAGCGGCGGAGGAAGGGGGCGGTCGCCGGACTGGACAATAGAGGTAATGGTCAGGATTGTAGTTGAAGGAGAAAGAGAGAAACAAGGCTAGTTGAGCGTGTTTTGAGAATGAAAATGAATAATACAAGTGCATGCAAACCCTCGGGCAAGCAAACACAAGAAGGGCGTGTGTTACAGGCGTTATTCAAACGAGGCGAACTTGATGGGAGGTGGTATTTCAAACAAACTGACCATGGAGCAACAGAGCCGCCGTACGTAACCCGTGCGCGGAATAGAACGTAAGTCCAAGCGGAAGGCGTATGCAGCGGTAAAGTTGGAAGCCGGCTCAACGTAATGTGGAATGGCGTCCGAAAGCGCGATGCAGGAGCAGAAGTCGGCAGGAGGTGTCGGTTATCGAGGTGCAGTGTGGAGAATGGAGGCAAGCAGAAGCAGACGCTCGCACGCAACAGGAGAGGGGAATTGGGGCGGAAGGCAACGCTGCAGGGGTTTATTCTGGAAACGAGCCCGGGGTACAGTATCGTACAGCCTAGCGCTACGTTGAGGGAGGAATTATGTGAGCGGCTGACCAGGAAATGGCCATGTGGGGGCTAAATTCTGACTGGGCTCGAGCTGAGATGGGCAGTCCCCATCATTAGCACGAACAAGAGGGAACGGGATCAGGATAACGCGTACGGGTCACTGAGAATTGGAATGCTTGAAATGGGGTGGAAGTGGTAAAGACTTGGTATGTAATTACATATGCAGTCGCATGCAGAGCTGGGATTGACCCGCCGGCACCAGTTCTGGTAATTGATAGTGGATACCCCTGTTTCAGCGCTGCAGCCTGTCGGATCTCCGTACCCCACCAACGCAGGCACGCCAAGGCCTGTCCTTGCAGCAACCACAGTTGTGCCAGATTGGAGCTGAGAAACATGGCTGACTCTCACAACATCGACTTATAAACTTTGGGGTTCTATTTTCTCACGGCACTAGAAGCTTCAGTCTCCCTGTGAGCCTTTTAGGCGGCGGAGCTTGAGCTTGAGCTCTAGAGGAGCAACTTGCCTTTGTTAGTTTGGCAGCCAGCTATTTCTAGGTTGTCTTTGCACACTGCGTTTGCAAGCGCCAGCAAACGCATTCACAAATATCGACCTCAACATCGATCCCACTTGGAAGGTGCGGAATCTACGGCGCGATCTAAGAGATCTTACATTTCTTTTGTTTCCTTCCCTTTTCTGCCTTGGAAATCGGGCTTGGATCGGAATAACCGCCGCAACACTCTTTTCTCGACCGCAAATAGTCGGGACGCAATACCCATCACCACTCCCGCAACGACAGTAGAACGCAGTGTCTCTCGGTCAAATTCAAATCATGGATCCTCCAAACCCTCAGTTCTCAGACCTGGCGACAGCTTCAGCGCCAGATGCCGACCATACCTCGGCCGCGCCACCAAACACCATCAGCGCCGGTACGTGAGCCTGCTGTTTACTTGGAGCCGAGAATAAGTTAGCTAACACAAACACACCCACAGACGAAATCGCCCTCTATGACCGCCAGATCCGGCTGTGGGGCATGAAGGCCCAGGAAAAGATCCGCAGCGCCAATATCCTGCTGATCACGATGAAGGCGCTGGCCAACGAGATCGCCAAGAACCTCGTACTGGCAGGCATCGGCTCGCTGACCATCCTCGACCCAGACGCCGTGACGCCCGCCGACCTGGGCGCCCAGTTCCTGCTGTCCGAGGAGACCACGCCGCTGGGCACCAACCGCGCGGCCGCAGCCTCGGCCGCCCTGCAACGCCTCAACCCGCGCGTGCGCATCCACGTCGACACCGTCCCCGTGCAGCTCAAGCCGCCGTCCTTCTTCGCCCCCTTCGACATCGTCATCGCGACCGACCTCGACTCCCCCACCCTCAACATCATCAACACCGCCACACGCCTGCACAACCGCCCCTTCTACGCAGCCAACTCACACGGCCTGTACGGCTTCCTCTTCGCCGACCTCATCGAGCACACCTTCTCCATCACCCGCGCCCGCTCCAACGTACCCACCCCCCTGGGCCCCGAGCCGCGGTCCCGCACCTGCTCCGTGCTCGCCGTCCACCCCAAACCGGGCGAAGAAGACCGCACCGAGATAGTCACCAAGCGCGAGCTGTACTCGACCTGGTACCTAGCATCGGGCGCGTCGCAGCTCCCGGCCGACATCCTGCGGTCGAACCGCCGTCGCCGCGTCGTCACCCCGCTGCTGTCGTGCTTCCGCGCTCTGTGGGAGTTTTCCTCGCTCCAATCTGACCCGGCCACTGCTCTGCCGGGGACCCCGTCTCCACCTGCTTCCACCCTCCCACACACCGATAACAAAGCCCATCTGGCTCTCTTTACTCGGCTCTGTGGCGAGCAGCACAAAGCGTTGGGTCTGCCGGCCGAAACCCTACGCAGCGAGCTCCTGCGGTCGTTCCTCCAGCACGTATCCAGCAGTAGCAATCACCACAACCACGGCAACAACAACTCAAACGGCCTGACACCAACAGGTGCAACAACAGCGACAAGCACAAGTGAACTCGCCCCCGTAGCCGCGGTTCTCGGCGGCCAGCTAGCACAGGACGTGATCAATGTGCTGGGCGGCACACAGCCGCCGCTGCAGAACTTTGTCATTTTTGACGGGGACGCCATGGACGGGCCAATGTTTGCGCTGCATCCGGAGGGGGAGCTGGGCAAGGGGTTGTTGGTGAGTGCTGTGCCGGTGGATTCGGTGGATTCGGCGGGTGGCTCGGGGGTTGTTGGTGTGTAGGGGGGTGTAGGGGAGGGAGTGCGATAGGAGTGTTGAGGTCAACACCTTCTTGGACAAGCTGTTTTCTAAGCGGGGATCTTAAGGATCTGATATGAAGTGCGAGGGGGGGTAAAAAGATGAATGAAATGAAATGAAGAAACTGAAACCTGAGAACAGAAATGGCCTGTGCTAATGACATGTGATGTCAGTTCTTAAACCCGCCTAGCAACTGAAAGGACTACCGATGCTCTAATTCCACAGACAGAACAACCCCAAATACCATGATACTCTGCAACGCCCTCTGGTTTCCCCACTTCTCACTCTTAGTTGCCATGTACTATCTATCTCCTTACTTAGCACCTTAGTTAACCAATACCATAATTACAAAAAGACCGGGCCAATTTCTCATTTGCAAATCAAGAATAGCGCATAGAACTTTGCTAAATGTCATGTTAACGTCGAATTACCTGACAACTGACCGAGGTACCCACCCCACAAACATCTACTTAATATACCTTGTCAGCTTGCATACATATACTGAGCTCTATATTACAACTAGCCGTCAATAGCCCATACTAGACAGGTTATCCTAACTCAAGGTATCCAGCGACATACACACACAGTGATTGTTCCAATACCGTAACATGTACTGTAAACCTTGCAACTTATATCCCTGAATCCACCCTCGGTATCGCCCTCCTATCCGATGGCCTCTTTGAGTTTTAACCTCGCGATCCAAGGCATGCTAACTGTTCCCCGCCGGATAGCCCAACAGCACCTATCGCTGCGGCCACCAACTGAGCGGCTTATCACGGTATTCCGCGGCCGGGCCAAACCAGACTCCCCCCATACTCGTGCTCCCTGACAGCTGTGAGCATCCCGCCATCTTCTGTTGTTGGGGCATATCGCCAACGATGAGATACACCGAGTCCTCGAAGTTCACCGGCAAATCACCGACCTCAGTAGAGTCGAGGTCGTTGGTGTCGCCGTTCTTGCTCACGGGTCGCCGTAGCAGCGAGTGCAAGATCCTCCCAGTAGTCTTGTTGGCGGCTATGCTTGCTGGAGAAGCCCGAAAACCCGACGAAGTGAGAACTCGGTGTCATTCTCGAGGTTTCACATTCACAAAAACGTCAAGACCTACCGTTACCCGCAGATGATTATATTTTGGGATCGAATGGGTTTGACTCGGGCTGTTGTTGGGATTGACATTGACTCCCATGCGGCGGCGGTCACGGCGGGTCACGGAGAAGGCGGCGGCAGCGAGGGGCGTGATAAGAGCCGGGGTCGTCGGAAGGCGATGAAATAGTATTGGCGGGCAGTCAAGATGCCACCTAGTAGTGCTCGTACTCGTTGCTGACCCGCCTTATCGAGAGCCAGATAGCTGTCGGTGAAGGCATTGCCAGCGATGATTTGGCAGGCCAGAAGCCAGTGACTTGGTATGTAACCGGAGTTTGGGCGCCCACAGTTCTAGACTTACGGTTGCGATGTGTGGCTCGCTGGTGTAAGTGGGAATTCGCCCGCCTTCGCAGCTACATTCAGGCAGCTCCAGACGTCAACGCTCGGGGTGGAGTGTACCCGGCTGCGGCGTGACGGCTGATTCAGGGGTTGGCTGTCTGGCTACCCCTGATACCCCTAGATACCGACAAACTTGACCGGGACGAGTCGACAACTCATCACCAAATGTCAAAACCCAAACCAGAAAACCTCACCACAGACCAACCACTCACTAACAAACGTCAAGACCTAACCAAACCCAAGACAGAACAGAACAACCACTCATCAGATCACGTCACATTTTCAGCAGGCCCCCCTTGGCTATAGTATAGTTGCCACCAAACAATAGCCATACGATATTGCTATAAAGAGCAGGCGAGCGAGCCAGTGTTCTGGGAGCATTGCTTGCACTTTGAACAGCCCTCTCTGTCTGCCGATGAACGCTACAGCAATGTCACTGCTAGCTCAAGCCCACGGCGATAGGTCGCAATGTCGATTACTGGGCGGCGAGAATGTCATGCGGGTGGCCACACCGCGGATGGATGGAAAGTGGTTACCTGAATGGCGATGCAATCAAGCGTTATAACCCGAGACCGCTAGGTCGGAAATTTATAGGTAGCAGCCAACACAGATAGATCGAGGATGTTGGTGTTGTGGTATACGTTCTTCTTGAGAATAGTGTTATAGCAAGGAAAAAGTAGGTTGGGAGAACAGAGGGGAGGGGAACGCCTTATATCATTTGAAGATGGGCATGGTAGGGCATGTATACACAGGCCATAGGCCATCCACGTACAGTGGCACGCTCGGTAGCAGGTATCGCGAACATCACGCACAAGCTCAACCAAGACCAAAATCCATCACACAAATCTCACTTACCCCACAGCACCATCATCTCAACGGTAAACAAATCACAAAAATAAACCAAGCATTAACCCATCATTTCCCTCTCTCAGACTACTACATCTCAACTCTCAGATATACATATATACCTCCTACCAACCCCTTTCCACGTCCTGGCCCATGACAAGCCCCAGACAGCACACCAAAAACCCAATACATAACATATTACACGAAACAATGGTATCATCCTCCCGTCCTCTCACCACCAACCCCCTCTTCAACGCAATTTGCCGGCTGCCCAGTTGCAAACCGAACCGCCTGTTCATTTCCATTTCCATTCCTCTATGTATCCCATCCCATCCCGCCCCCTTTTCCACAGCCAACCTCGCCGCGAAATCCCACGGCGAACCCGACCGAGAACCCCAACGTAAACCACGCAAAAGAAAAGCCCCATCGCAAATGCTACCTGCTCCCGCGCAATGCCCAATGCTAGTAGCTAGGTCCCGTAACAAAACGTTCTTTTTAGAAACCCGCATGCTGTGCTAGAGAAACCACAGAAACAACACAACACAACACGACACAACACATGGAAGAGTAACCGGAACGACAGAAAGGAAGCAAAAAAAAAAAAAAAAACAAGAAAAGATTAAAACACATCAAACCGAAAGAAACCGAAAGAAAACAAACCCAAACAAGAACAACAACACAACCAAACAAAAAACAATAAACTGCTCCTCCCTCCTCCCTTCTCCTCTCCGCCACATCCTCCCCGCCTCCCCACCGCAGATTCACCACCTACTCTACTTACGTTTCCGCAAGTTATAAGGGCTCCTCCTTGGCAAGTCAGCAGGAGCGGCGGCAGCAGACCGCGCCCGCCGTGTCCTTATCCCTGCCGGAGCAGCAGCAGCCGGAGCAGGAACGACAACAGGCGCAGGCGCGGGCGCAGCCACCGCCATAAAGGGTTGTTGTTGTTGTTGTGGTGGGCTGGGCGAACGCGACGAGGGAGCAGCGACAGCGACGGGCTCGTCGTCGGCGGCGGTGGGGGTCGAAGTGACGCCGGCGGAGGGGTGTGCCGTGACGGGCACGGCTGCTGGGGTGGGCGTGGACAGAGGAGTGGACAGAGGAGGGGCCACCACCTCCTCCTCTTCCACATTCCCAAACAGCCGGGGGTCGACGAGTCCGTAATCGAACCCGACGGCCCCGCCGTCGCCGACACCACCACTGCCGACACCACTACCGACGACACCACCGACACCACCAACGAGCTCGTCGCTGGCGCTGTCCTCGCCGCGGTCACCCTCCTCTTCACCCCCCTCCTCTTCCCAACTCTCCTTCCCATCCTCCCCCCTCTCCTCCTCTTTCTTTTCCTCCCCAGACGACGCCAGCCCCGAGGAGTCAGCCCCAGCCTCAGCCACGTTCCGCCTCAAAACGTTCCAAGCCAGCTTCCTCCTCAGACTGATGCCGTCGGGCCGCATCCTCCCCAGCGAGCGCGCCAGCCTCACCCGCAAAGCGGGGTCGTCAACCACCCGCTTCACCTTTTTCTGGGCCGGACGACCCACCCCCTCCGTCCCCATCCCCAACCGCACCGACGCCGCGCGCGCGTTGGCACCAATTCCCAGATCCGCATCATCTGGACTCTCCTCCTCCTCATCGCGCAAGCGCTTCTTGCCCCCTTCCCGGCCGCCTCCTGCGTTCTAGGCAGAGGGTTCCTCAGAAGGATGCACACCCCCCGCCGCGGCGGTGCCGGCGGAGGGGTGGTGCGCCTCGATCTTGGAAGGCGGCGGGGTCGGGCGCGAAGAAGGCTGCTTGCGGATGTTGTTGTGCGTCCATCCGCGGATCTGGGTCGGGCCGTGGCGCGGCGGCGCCTCGACTGCCGAGTAGTCCTTGATGGCCTCTCGGTAGTCGAACTGCACGGTGCGCAGCTCTTGGCCGTTGCCACCGTACGGCGTGCGGTGCGGTGGGGTGGGTGCCGGCTCCAGCTTCCGGTACTTGGATGCAGCCGCTGCCGCGTTGGCCGCGTTGGCGGCTGCGGCTGCTGCTGCTGCTGCTGCGTTGGCGCCGGCACTCGGAGCCGACGAGCTGCCGGGCCGGGATCGGTTGGTCGCCATGCCAGCCGGGGCGAGCGGCGGCGGCGGCGGTCCCTGCTGGTGCTGGAAGTGCAGGGTGCCCTGACCGGGGTGCGAGGGGCCGGGACCATGACCGACCGGTTGTTGATGGTAGGCCGGCGGGGTGCCCATCTGGCGGTGCGGCGTTTGTTGTTGTATATGGCCGCCGCTCATTGGCGACTGCGCCATCATCGGCTGCATTGTTGTCGACTGCATCGGCTGCAGCGACTGCATGGCCGGAATGTGCTGCATCGGCTGTGCCTGCTCGTGCATCGAGTAGCTGTTGTAGTACGGCCGATTCGCCGCCGGCGGATAGTAGGAGCTGGCGTTTGAAGGCACCATCTGATGGTGCGATGGCTCCGAGTAGGGCGGCGCCTCGTTGAGGAGGCTTCGCATGGGTCGCAGGGCGGGCAGGGCACCACCAGCAGCGCCGGCGCTCGAGAACGGCGTCCGGTTCGCGGGTGCTTGTTGTTGTTGCGGCGGAGGAGGTGGTGGTGCTTGGGCCGGGGCCAGAGGCACACCGTACTCCTGGGCCGGGGGCATGTGTGATGTAGGCGACGGCGCGGGCTGCTCGTTGAGGGCCGTCCGAAGGAAGTCATTGGTCCTTGGGGGCTGTTGTTGCTGCTGGGGCTGTACCTGTTGTTGTTGTGTCTGTTGTACCGGCTGCTGTTGCGGGTGATGTGATTGTTGTGCCTGCTGCTGCTGTGATTGATGTGATTGATGTGAATGGAGAGGTTGGTGAGGTTGTTGAGGCTGCGAGTATTCAAACGCGCGATACTCGGCCGGAGGTTGTTCGTACTGCGGTGCTTCGACGGGTTGCTGCTGGACGGCTGGCGAGACCGGCTCCAGAGCGACATCTGCGAGGCATGATAGGGCAGTAGGGAGAGGCGCAGAGGCAGCGGAAGAAGAAGGAATAGGAACAGCAGCAGCGGTTTGGGCGGCAACAGTGGGAGGAGAAGGTGGGCGAACAGGCACGGAGGGGCTCTCGGTGAAGACGTCGCGGATGGCGTCGTATGGTCGCGATGGTTGGGCGCGTTGTTGTGTTGTTGCTGCTCTTGCGGCAGCTTCCTCTTCGGCCGCAATGGTTTCAGCAGCACCCAGGGCTTCCCTAGCAAACCGGTTGAAGCCTGCAATCTCCGCTTCAGACAGACCGATATCTTCCTCGAGACCCTCCGGCACAGCAGCGGGCTCGGACACAGGCGCGGATGCAGCCGCAGACTCTGGCTCTTGCTCTGGCTCTAGTTCGTCCTCGTCCTCGTCCTCGGCCTCGAATTCGGATGACTGCTCAGCGCGAGGCGCAATCTGGGCGACGTTGGCGTATTTGGCAGGGTCGAGGCCCCGCGAGAGCAGGACCTCGGCCCGGTTCTTCTCCAACTCCTCGGCGTCTGGCGCGACGGCATCGTGGGGGATGGTTTCTTGGTCGAGCACCGTGCCCAGCATGTCCGACACTTCCATCCTCCGCTCGATGGCGTCCACATCGACATCCAGCTTGGCGCCTGCGACGGACCGCGACGAGTGGATTTCCTCGCCCGAGGGCGCCACAAACACAACCGGCTTGAAGCCCTCTGCCATAGGCCGCGGCGGCTCCGACTCATTGGCCGAACCAGGAAGCGCAATCCCAAACCTGGGGTGAAGATTGTGTTTCTTCACCAGCTCTTCGTCCAGCTCGCCCTCGGCGCGCGTGGCATCCCACGTGCCGACGCGGCGGTCCAGGAACAAATAGTTGGACCCGGGCTGGTTGATGTACTTGCCCCGGCGCTGTTTCGTCGCACCCTTCCTGGCGCAGTTGGTCGAGTCTCGGAAACCAATGTCCAGTTCGTCCCATGGGAAAAGATTGGGCGCCATGATGCGGTTGTTGGCACCGTCCGGACGGGTCGTCCGCCTGTCAATGAGTCGGACGCCGTACTCGTCTGCATCCGTCGCCCAACGGGGAGATGGGAGATCGGGGCCGTCGCTGGGTGTGCTGGCGGCAAGCTTGTTGAGCCGGCCGAGCGTCGGTTCTTCGGCAGCATCGGCGGCGTCGATGGGTTCGGCAGCCGGGGTTGGCGCATTGGACCCCGAATCCGGGGTCGTCACCGCGCTCTCAATGGCGTCGGCAGCACCAAGGAGGCCGGCAGGATGCTTTGGCATCTGTGGCGCACTTCCGTCCGCTCCAGCAATGGCCGCCGCTTTTGCTGCGGGCTGTCCCTCCGGCTGGCCGTCCGCTTTGCGCTTTGGGTCCAGGGGGAGGGGCTGGACCTTGGTCATCAACTGTGAGACTGTCTTGCGCGAGTGGGGGACCTCCACGCCATCCTCCATCTCGACATAGGGGCCTTGCTGTGCAGCATCCTCTGCGGAAATATCCTTGAACTCATACTGGTCATTGGGCAGAGCAGGAAGCTGTACAACCACCAGGTTAGCAAGAGAATAGTCACGTGACCAACATAGGGATAGAAACATAAAGAAAAACGGAAAGAAAAGAAAAGACGGTAACTTACATCAGCAGGCAGGTTGTTGTCGTGGAGGTAGTCAAGAATGTCTAGTTTACGAAGGAGAACACCGTATGCATCACTGCACATTTCGGCCGCCTTGGTCTGTTGCAAGTGCATCAACGTGTCAGTCGTCTGAAGTCTCGATGGGCTTGAAAAGGGAGGAAAGAAAAGGAAAGGGAAAAAGAGAAGCAAGAAAAACTTACATTGTACTCGTCCCACACCTTTTGGACTTGCGACTCGTAGACTTTGTCGATCATAGCCAGGTTCTGCTCGAGCTGGAGGTTGTTGAGTCGGTGCGTCTCCTGGTGGCGCTTGCGCAGGAAGTTGGAAATGATTTGGTGCTCCGGGAGGTCCTTGTGGAAGTTGGGGTTCTGGATCATCTCGTTGACCGACCGGTCGGCGAGCTCTAGGAGCACCGGCTTGACTGCCTTGCTAAGGGTAAGAAAAGCTTGCTTGAGCTCCTGAGTCCGCTCGTACGCGGCTTGGACCTTGGGTTCGTCATAGACCTTTTGGCGCCGGCCTCGTCCCGTGGCTGCCTTAGGCGGCGCCGCTTTGGTGACTCGGTTGCCCTTCCCACCGCGCGGCCAACGACCGCGTCCTCTGCCTCGGCCACCTGATGATGCGGCGGCTCGGGATGATGTGGTGGTTTGCGTCGCGGGCGCGTCTTCCGTGATTGTGTCCTCCATCTCAAAGTTGTCGGCGGCAGGAAACCCGACCTGGCTCTGTTGGCTCTGTTGGCTCATGATGAAGTTGTGTAGGTGTGTATGTGATTTATGTGAAGAGTGGTTGAGGTGTGGTGAGAAAGCGGAGATGTGAGATGTGAGGTGTGAGGTTTGGGAGTAGTGGAGAGAAGAAGAGATGAATGAACCGTAAACGGTAAGAGAGAGGGCGAGGCAATGTAGCGCAAGTGCTGCTACTATTGCCGCCGGAGAAGTAAGGCGGTTAGGTTGGTTATTTTAAGTTGTTGTTGGTGGGTGGTGAATAACCCACGTGCCGAGCACCTGACACGGCGATAAATGATTTTTTAGGTTTGGCGGAGCGGTTGAGGCTGCGAACCTTGCGTGGCCGATATGTTGTAACGGCTTGGATGTCGAACGGCGATTCTTTTAATCGGCCGTCAAAAAGTAAAGGTGAAGTAAAGGAGTAATATTTACCGACTTATGGCGATAATTTTGCACTTGGCTGGTGGGAGTCGCTGAAGTCGCGAGGTACGTGGCTTGTCAGCGTGGTTGGGTGGTTAGGTTAGGTGGAGGCTGTAAGAGAAGACGCGTTGTGGGGGGAAACGTCTTGTAGAAGAGTTTTGGCGATTTATTGAAGGGAAGATTTTGCCTCTTGGAGAATCAGAGTAGAAGATGGAAAATACGAACAGTATCGATAGAAGCTGGTACTCGCAGTTGGAGTGTAGATGAAGTTCTTGGTGGAAGAAGAGTGAAGGCCGACCAAGTGGAAGTGAAAGGAGAGACGACGAAAAGTTGGAAAGTCGGGTGGGAGAATTTAGATCTTGACCAAATTTTGAAAATTCGCAATGTATCGTAATCGCAGACCCGACGCAGTGTATCAAGAGGGACCGACAAGAAGTGTGCGGTATGGGAAGTGCAAGAGCAGGAAGATGCCGTCGAAGGGGGAACGGGGGCCGGGGAACTTGCTCTGCGGGCGTGACAATACCTCATGCGGGCACAATGGGATGAGAGAAGCCCGTCAATGACGGGGCAGCCCTCAGCAATTGTTGCTCCTGGTGTGCGGCATCGCCTATTGTGTGTGGTGTCGTCGCTGAATACCGAGGAAGGTACGCAAATGTGTGCCGTCGTGAAGGACCTGACAATAAGAGACGCCGCCCAGGCCGGCGCTGCTTTTCCTCAGCCAGCACCAGCCAGCCAGCCAGCGAACACCAACCGGACCCCCGGTCGCTCAACCGCCCCCTGGCAGCACCAGCCCATCTGCAAAACCCAGCCTGGCCCCACTGAGGCTTGACCGAGTCCTCCACCAATCAGCGCAGCCGTACTCCTTCCAAATCTGGACAGAAGCGAACTGGTCCTTTTTTCCGTGGCCTCGAGTTTTGCAGCTTGCAGCATCCAAACACCGGGTTTTCTTCATGATCAGAGAGTTAATATCTCTTCTAAGTTGATATTAGCTGGGACTATACATATCCAAACTATCTAGTCCGACTTTAATCTACATTCCAGCTTTGGGCGCAGTGTTCTTGCGCAAGAAAGGCGTACGGCGCTGTCGGTGAACAAAGCGCAGCCACATGTGGCGCAACAATTGACCGGTTTTGCCGGAAATGTGTCTGTGGGAGCCAAGCCCGAGCCCACGGACCAGCCTCGAGCTCACCTCACGTCGCGTCGGCCATCCACCACATTCCATGAGATGATGACCTCGGGAATCGGGCGGGAAAAATGATTTTCTGGACGCGTTCAGCATCGCAAATGTCCGTACCTGCCTGTGGTCTAGCGTGGCGTGAAAATTCTGATTCATACCGCGTTCCTTCCTTCCCAGCTTTATGCTACCTCCGTCCTTCGTTTTTTCCGAGACTCCCGTGTATGGATGTGCCGGGTCTATACGGTATGTAATCAAAGGGGTTACTATTGAGAACATATACAGCTAGGTCTATGGGATGCGATGAAGCGGATAATAATATTCCAAACGGATTACTCAACACTCACGTAGACAAACAACTGTCATCGGGTTAACTTCCAGCTGCTATGTAAATACGTTTAACATTTCACTATTGATACAAGGAGTGATGTGTTTTCCAATGACCCCCAGCCCTGCCTTGTAAATGAGACCTGAAACCTCTGAGTGGTTGATTCTTGACAACAGCACAAGCATAGGTGGAAACTGGCTGAAACATAAAAAGGAAAATAATGACGGAGAAAATCTTAAAAGACGGGGAACTCGTTTGCATGCAGATGCTAAACAATTTCCGAGACAATGTCGTGTTACATCATTTGCTCTTCTCTCTCTCTCGGACAAAAAAGAAGTAACAAACTGCAAAATTAGGTTTACCATTTGCATCTTTCAGTTCTGGGTGCGTTTGTCAAGAACCACACACTATCATATAGGCTTTGGGCGGCCCGAGGTCGTGTGTTGGTGGTTGTGTTGTCATGTAATTTCTGCCCCAGGCGCCCATTTCCATCGGCCGAAACAGGCAAGGAGCCCACACTGCAACACCCGGAGCCGTCTTGGCGCTCGTCAGTCCAATCAGACAATGCGACCTCCAAAGTGTCGTGCTGAAGACCCACATCCCTTGGCGGCTGGGGCCGAACCAAACGGCTTCCAGCCTTTTTCTGTTTGGTCTTTTTTTTCGAGGTTTTTTCTGTCTTGAATTTTTTTGCGGTTCGGTAGCCAATCTCCGCATTCCCGGTTGCCCGGACGCGTTCCTGGCTTTGCCGGACCGATCCCGAGCGAGTCACGGAACACGACGACACCACTGCCGTCGCTGCCCGCGCCGAGCCGTCCGACCTCACTTTCGGCCGATTTTTCTTTTTGTTCGCCTTGGTTCCGTCTTTTCTTTCGTCCGTCTAATTCAGTATTAATTGTCGTCAAATCCACGATCGGTCGATCAAAATAATCCCACAATGGCCAAAGGGCGGGGTCTGCTGCAACACGCAGCAAAAGCCGTGAGACAAGAAAAGAAAAAACCAAAGCCAAACACGCCGACACCTACGTCCAACAAGTCCAAGACGAATGCCAACACTAAATCAAAGCCGGGGAAACGACCTGGGGCCGGGCCCCCCTCGGCAAAGAAGCAAAAGACGGGCGCAAGCAACGGGAAGCTACAGCATAACCAAAAACCCACGATCCCCTTCTCCCCTTCAGACCCGATCCTTCTCGTCGGCGAGGGCGACCTCTCCTTCGCAGCGTCGCTCATCACCCACCACCACTGCACCAATATCACCGCCACGGTGCTCGAGAAAGACTTCGCCGAGCTCTCCGCCAAATACCCACACGTCGCCACCAACACGGCCGTCATCGAGTCCCCCTCCCACCCACACTGTTGTCTCCTCTACGGCATCGACGCCCGCAAGCTCCCCGCCTTCACGGCCCCCAGCGGCAGCACAAACACACCCGGCACCAACCCCAAACCGAAACACAACCGCCACCACGACCCCTCCTCCACCGGCACCATGAAACGCATAATCTTCAACTTCCCCCACACCGGCGGCAAATCAACCGACGTCAACCGACAAGTCCGACACAACCAAGAACTCCTCGTCTCCTTCTTCCAGCAGGCCCAACCCTCCCTCGCGCCCCACGGCACCATCATCATAACCCTCTTCGAAGGCGAGCCCTACACGCTCTGGAACATCCGCGACCTAGCGCGACACGCCGGGTTAACGGTAGAGCGAAGTTTCCGGTTTGTGGCGGGGGTGTACCCGGGGTACGGACATGCGCGGACGTTGGGGGTGGTGAGGAATCGGAAGGGGGAGGTGGCGAAGGGGGCTTGGAAGGGGGAGGAGAGGGCGGCGAGGAGTTATGTTTTTGTTAGGAAGGGGGAGGGGAGTGAGGGGGGGGTTGTTGGGGGGAAGAGGAAGAGGGGTGGTGGTGGTGGGGAGGAGGAGAGTAGTAGGGAGAGTGAGGTGGATGAGGGGAGTTGGGGGGATGAGGATGAGGATGAGGATGAGGATGAGGACGAGGAAGGGGGGGAAGGAGAGGAAGAGAAAGACGAGGTAGAGAAGCAGGTAGATGCCGAGGAAGACAGAAGCGATGGAGGCTCGACTGATGACAACGACCTGGATGGCTCGACCGACGGAGAGTGAGACTCAATCGGAGGTAGTCAGCATGCACCTATTACCATGCAGCCGCCATCGGCACTTGGTTCTATCCCCAGTCAACGTGGTATCGGGGTCAATCCGCCGAAATACCACGGACCGTCCTTCGAACAACACCAAACGCCCATCTCATGATAGATACCGGGATGATCTGCGTCGTGTCACGGACTCTTACGCTCTCCGGGCAAACTTTCCGCCGACGTCAACGGGCCTCGAACTCGTGACCGGCATACGCCGGACTGTTACCCAGTCTATAACGTGCGCCATTCATTCGTCCTAGTCTTACGAGCGAGTTAAACCAGCGCCATGATCATAACCCTGGCGGCCATCACAAACGAACCCACCTCACCATCGGCGACTACAGAGCCTCAAAACCCAGCCATCCGGTCCACTCGGGTTACAACGCTCACTCCAACAGACGGGGTTTGCACGACCACCACCCACTTTGTCACCGTCTTCCGTTCGCCGTCCTACCATTGTGTTTCCCACCCCGACTCCACGACACAACAAAAACCGCGATTGGATTGCGGCCCCAAACAGACCAGACAAGGGGCCAGCCAGGGCCAGCCAGATCTAATGCCTGTCATCCCTCACCCCGTCATGCCCGTCATACACTACAATGTCCCCATGGATGCGCCCGCTTTATTTACTCCATCATGATGCGTTGCGTTGCGAGCAATAACGAACCGGCTTCGTCCCGCGAAGCGAAGCTGTGCGTACTCGGAGAAATTTGAGATGCAAGGACAAAAAAAAAAACAGACAGATGCAGGACCCGGACGATGGTACGAGACGCGCGCATGAATGAATGTAAGCCAGCAGACGATACAGCAGACGATACCACACAAACAATGAACATGTGAACAAAGATCCAGATCCAGATCAGATGTAAACTTGCTCTCACTCACGATGCGCTTGTCCTCCTCAGTCGGCCGACCCCGTCGCCGGTCTTCTCTCCCCCCTTGACAAAACCCACAGGCGCTCTCCGCCCCCCCCCCTCCTCAAAATTCCCGGCCGTGTGATGCGGCTCAGAATTCGGTCCCCTCAAAAACTCCGGCCAAGTCTTCGGGCCTGCGTCCGACAATCTTCGGAGTCCCCCTCCCCCTCAAAAAAGCCCAGGGGTCCAGGGACCCAGGGGAGTAGAAAGGGGACCCAGCGGGTAGAAAAGGTGACCCGAAGATGCCGAGCGCCGGGTGCCGATGTCAGGCAGGACGTTGTGTAATGTGACTCCGCAAGTGCAGGATCTCTTGGGAAACTTAGAAAGAAACAACGGACGGCAGACGAGACGGGCAGACAACGGCGAGGCTAGCCAGCCACGCTCTTGTGTCGTGCCGTCCGGGAGAGACAAAAACGGTTGAAACGGCTTCGACCGCTGCACGGTTCTACAGATTGACATCTGAACATCCGCACCTACAGATAGATAGACAGACTGACAAAATAGAATATATAACACCCCTAGCTCGAGCTTGAGAGGGTACATACACCCACCGTTTTCCCTTCTATCGTGGGGGGCTCTGCCGTTATGACCCGGAGCTCAAACGAAATACATGCGGCGAAAAAGGGTACAAGTCAGACACAGTGTATCTTGCACTTTCATTTTCCTTCCCTTACCCCTCCCCCCTTCTCCTCTGTCTCGGGACCTCAGGACTTCTGTTCCCTGGAACCTCATGCACCTACCCGACGGGCTCCAACCCTCCCAGCCAGACTTTTTTACGCCCCTGTCCCAGGCCCGTGACAGATATCACCAGGCAAATCCCACAAGCCGTCCCGAGAAGGGCAAGGAGTCCGTCCGTCCACCTGCACACGCCCGTCCCGGGTCGCTCCTAAGGAACCGGGAAGACTTGATTGCATCTAGCTAATTTAGCTAAAATTAGGGGCCGGAGGTGCGAGAGTATTGCAAAGTCAAACGAGTCCATGGATTTCTATTCGGGGGGGAGAAAGGTGAAAATCAGAGAAATACCCGAAAAGGGAAAGAAACCCTAACATGCCAAGCCTGACCGTGTATGTACTGTACTATACGAAGTCTGGAATACCAAGGGTCTTTTCAACAGAGACGTCATCTTAATGACAGAGAAGAGGGACAAAGCGGCCTGGAGCCGCGCGCATTAAAACAAACCCACCCTCCAAAAAGGGATACCAAAAAAAAAAAAAAAAAGAACGATGCGCATATGCAATGCACAACGTTGACCAGGAAGGCGGGCTGCATCCATGCATTGCTACTGCACATGCACGCCCGGACCAAATAGACACCCCTCAGTGGCTCGGAACCGCACAGCCGGGAGAAGGGGGGGCTGGTTCCAACACCATCCCACGCCATCCCCCAATTCTCCGGTCGTGGGCCTGGCCTCCCAGTGCCGCGGGGTTCCAACGGGGCAATGGTCTGGGGACAGGAACCAGGGGGGTCGGCTGCAAGCCACGGGAGGCGTTGATGCGGGGGGGTTGTTCTGCTGCTTGAAGTGGTACATCGTAGGTAGGCATGTCCCCGACGTCCGACGTCCGGTTGCCTGCAGGTATGTATGTACATATGTATGATGGTGGATACACCTATGTATGTACGAACGGGCATGTGATACAAACTGTCCTAAACATGAACAACACACCACGACGTTAGCCCTTTTTGTTCAACAGCTCCGCTTCGCCGGCTTCGGACTCGTCAACATCCCGTCAATACCCCGTCAACACTTCTGCAATGTCGATTCAACACCAATCAAAACTCACGGGAAAAAGACGTACCAGGCACCGACCGACGAGCAAGACACGGGAAATCTGAGATCCGAACGCCACATTGACACGCTGATGCAGGGCTGCCGCGGCGGAACTGGATTGCGGAGATGCCCTGTTTGCTGTACCCGCGTGGTGGACATGAAGAAGTGAGACAGACAGAGAAGCTGAAGAAAGATAAACGAGCACAGAAATGTTGGAGGGGGGGTAGACAAATGCAGAAAAAAAGTGGAAGAAGGGCTAGAATCTGGACCAGAGGCAGGAACGATGAGATTGAGGGGAAAACACCAGGAAGGCGCCACTGGAGGTACCCGCACGCCTTGAAACTTTCCACTCTCACCCCCTCTCTCTCTTGCTCCTTCCCCGCACCCTAGGGCACTCGCTTCCTCAACCTTTTCCTTTCTTCAAGCGGGGTCTCGCCCGCTCATATCTCTCGGCTCCTCCTACTACGGATGACGAGATACGGCCAGAACAAGCGAGTCAATGCAAGCCATTTTTACACACACAGAGCTCAAGTTCTAGCTGACTTGACCAAAGCAGAAACACCTGCTTTCTGTCTATGTTGTGCTACGTTGGAGAGATGCCCAACTGATCGGATCCGATACGATCCGATCTGATCCGATCCAGTCCCATCCGATCCAGTCCCATCCGATCCGACGGAGTACGAATACGGTAGGATACCAGAGGTATGGGCAGTATGATGCTACCTAGGGTGATATAATATTACTGGGTGTTATTGACCGGGACTGCTGCGTATTATCCAGTGAGTATACAGATTTGTATAGAGGGTAGAGACATTGGGGCCTGTCATCTTGCCATGCCAACGTCGATCACATGTTGTTACGTCTGCCGAAACATGCTCCCGTTTCCTGAATCCATCACAAACAATGTTACATAGCAATATCCCGGTATCTAAGTAGTATTCCAGTCAAAATGACCGCACCATCCCATGTTACCCATACACTTCGAGCAATGAGCAGCGACATACTCCGCCCTCTCAGAGAAGGCTGACAGATAGAGTGGTTCCCGTGCGTCAGCGATAGGGGGCCGGTCCCTCGCGCCAGTCACCGTCACCCTCCTCCTTCTCCGCCGCCACCATCATCTGCACATTGCCGCGGTACAACAAAGAAATATCCAATACCCATTTGCAAGTCACAAGCCTCGCCAGCCTCGTCACACCACCCCTTGGGCCCGACGTGAGGGATGACCCGGGCATGCCGGGCTGGGGCTCAAATAGAGAAGTAGAAGCGAAAAGAATAAAATGGGATACAATAATAATGAAGTATTCCCACCGCAAGAGCCTATGAAAGTACACCTCAAGCCAAACAATCCGATATTGCCACGCCCGCAGCAGAGGAGACCTGGGCATATGCTGAAAGAGAAATACTCGGCAACTGCGCAAGGGGACGTAACCATTTGACAGGATGTGATAGAAGCCTGGCAGGTAGGTAGCCGCGTAACATGAGAATGAGCTGAACCCAAACCCACACCGTTTCCACCTTCACAACCTCGGAGTCAACTCCGGAGTCCACGCCCATCTTCGGACCCGGAATGGTATCCGCGCCGCCACCAAGCCAAGGGGACTTGCATGTACCTATCGACCTTCCCATCCCGGCCGGAGAGCTAAAAAGGGGGAACGCAAAAAAACATACAGCTCACACTTTCCGCAACCCGTCCGCGATCCAGATCCGGTTTCAGATCAGATCGGCCCGTCGTCGTCGTCTTCATCAGCCAGTCAAACCTATCAAGCCAAAGATGATAGAAGCCCGGCGTTCTTCGGCCGAGCTTCTATTTGTTGCTCTCGCTCTTGCCTTCTCCTTTCTCACTTTGCTTCTTCTTCAACGAGTAATTTCCTTTTCTTTTTCCTGTTTCTCTCCACCTTCTAGACCTTTTCCCTCCACTTCTTTAGCCAGCCACCACCCACCTCCCTTTCTACACCACACCCTACACAACACTCCCCCTCCCTCAACCTTCCCGACCTCCGTTCGTCAGTGCTGAAGAAATATGGGATGGGGTGTGCAGCACGTGAAACGGAGGACTTGCATATCTACCCACACACCCTTCAGTATCCCCCCTCTCCACCATCCCCTTCCCTTCCTTCCGTTTCTCTCTCTCTCTCTCTCGCCATACCCCCTCGATATATCTTCAACACACACCCATCTAAAAGGAAGAAAAAGGTCTCCACGTTTGCGGGCTCGGCCCTACCAATATCATATCATGCCATACCACCATGTCACATCTCCGCCCCCTTACTCATACATCCATCCTTCACATGACACACAAAAAGCGGCAATCCTCGGTCCTCGGGTCGACTTTCCACGTTCGTCTCATTGGGGATCGATCCCCATCTACACACTTCACTCCCCATTCCCGGGAGGAAATACTTGCATTTATTGCGTTCTTGGCCGGATGGTTTGGTCCTAGGAATGTGGATATAGGGAGGGTAGGGTAGTATGATACACAAAAACGTCTGATTCGGGTATGTATCGACTTTGATAGACGTCAGCAGGTCTACGCAATGTTTTATGTGGTTAGGTTGATGGGCCAGGTGATCGTGGGATGTATCCTTGCACACTCATGTGTTGTCCTTTCTTCAACTCCTTACCTACCTACCTACCTTCCTATATGTTAATCCTCCTTACCTCTGAACTTGGGAGTTGCCTGTGTATGGAAGCCCATAACGACCCTATTTCTCGTCCACGAAATCAAGCCGTGCCGTATTCGTCAGATTAGGACTAAGAAGCTAAGGTAAGGTTCAAGGGAGAGGAACAGCGAGTGGGAGAGAGACCAAAGGGTATTGCGTACGATGACCTCACCTCGCACCTCGCATCATAAGAAATAAAAAAGAAGAAACCCCCAAATCAGAAAACAAACCAAGAAACTCGCAACAAAATATGCACAGAGGCCTACGAGCGGTATGCACAAACGAGGTATCCCCGCCGTTCTCTCCTGCCTCAGTTCCTTGGTTCGTTGTTTACAACCCTCAGCGGGGTCTGCCGACCTCGAGGGTTTGTATTACAAGTGGGCCCGTGTGGACGCTACGGCGGTCGGTTTGTTAGCTTGTTGTCAAGGGGGAAAGGTGATGGGGTAGGCTGTGGTGTACTTCGGGGGAAGAATACAAAATTACCGTCGGGAATTCTACCTGCTGCTAATACTCAAGAAATTGTAAAAGATGGAAATATTTACAGGACCCTGAAGATTCCCACCAGACCATACAGGTGATAACATCAACACCATAACCATAACCACAAGATGTAACTCATACCAAAGCACAAGACTAAGCAATATCAAACAATACACCTGTTAAGTACTGTAGTTCGTGTCTGTATTCGGTCTGTAGGGTGATATGCCCATTGTTTTATGTCCAAGCTTAAGAAATGGAAAGAGAAGGTCCGAAGGGAAAACAGGAAAATGAGACAACAGTGAAGCAAAGTCGACCAGGAGAAGAGAAGAAGGAAACCCAATGGATACTTACGGGGGTGAAAGGAAAACAGTAAATATCCACCGTCATTAACAACACTAATTCCTCGCCCGTAAAGCACCAAAAAAAAGATAAACAAGAAACTGGAGAGAACAAGTTCCAAACCCGGGCCAGCATCTACCCCGTACCCTCCTCTTTCTAACCAAAACCCTGCCTATATCGACCACCTCCCCCATGCCCCCCCAGCCGCCATACCAAGCCAACCCGATAACAACTTCTTTGACCCCATCCCTCTCTTCATCTCTGCCCAAATAGTTGTTCACATCGACAACTGGATGTTCCCAGCCCCAAACATAACGGCCTGGTGATGTTGCGGCTGCTGCCCATACATCTGTTGCTGTTGCTGCAACGGTGAATGGGCCTGCTGGTGTTGGTGCGGCTGGTACTGTTGTTGTTGTTGATACGGGTGGTATTGTGGCTGGACCTGGTGATCAAAAGCGTGGGCGTAAGGGTTCCCATACCCACTCGTGTTAACCTGTTGCTGATGCATCATCGACACGGGAGATGAAGCAGAGAAGTCGTTCGGCGGCTGGCTGTGGCCTTGCTGTGACAACTCATGCTGCATGGGGATAGCACTGTGGGGGTACGCGAAGATGGGCGAAGTGGACATGGCAGGCGAAGATGCGGGGACATCCGGCGTGGATGCTGCGATAAGGTTGGGGGTGGTTGGGCCCTGGCTTTGGGGTGACTGGGCCCAGTGAGTCGTAGGGTACATCGCCGAAGGAGGTGGGGTATTGAACTCGTTGTTGGCCATGAAGAGAGACGAACGACGGCTGGCATCGTGCTGCTGGGGGCTGTGGGGGTGGTGCTCATGGGGTTGGTGAGAAAGACCGGTGAGTATGTTCGGCAGATGCATGGTTGCGGTCGGGTACGAGTACTGCTCAGCAGCCGAGATGTCGGTGGGCAGCATAGCGGGCGCGCCATATACATTGGGTCGGTGCGGCAGATCCTGGAAGCCGGTCGAGGGTTGAAACTGCGCGGCGAGAGCCTGGGGTACCGGCGATATAGATGGAGAGAGCGGGATCGCGTCGGCTGGGATCCCCATGTCTTCTCTGTGAGCAGCGTCCCATTCATCCGAGGCCCGTTCCTCGTCAAAGTCGAACCAGTCGTTCATCCGGATCATGTCGTCCGCGTCGATCATGGTTTGGGTCGTGCCATCTGAAGTGGAGGGCATCGATTAGTTCCGGCTCCCGTGCTCACACTGCTTTGGACTCTGTTCTGTGGCTTACCAATCTCGTTCCTTTTGTACCTCTCCTCCATCTTAGCCACGCGGAAAAGCTCCTTCAAGATCGGTCGTTTCCGGTCGTTCTTGGGCTTCTTGGGATCACGGAAGAAGGCAGCGAGCGATTCGACCGCTGCAACTTCGAGCTGGGCTACCGAGACAGGGCCCAAGTTTCGCATCGACGGCGGTCGGATGGTAGGATCAACAACCAATTTGAGGATTTGCTTCAAGAGGACAATCCGTTCTGTTCGACTGTTAGAGGCAAATAGGGCAATAGAAGGAAAAGGAATAGAAAAAGAAGAAAAATACATACCCTCCTTCAAGAGATGATCCGGCTCCTTGTGCCGCACCAGCTTATTGTTGTGGGCCCAGTGCGGCCACCAGTCCGGCGCCGTGACTTCGCCCTTGTTGTACTGATACTGGGCCGATTTCTTGGGGCAGATCAGCTTGACGAATGCCTTGCCTAGCTCCTTGCAAGCGGTCTGCTGGATCCATCGGAAGGAGCGGTCATAAAAGTCCATGACAGCTTTCGAGTCGCCAATGACGAGGGGCTTTTTGATGCTAGTGACGACCGGTGCCGCCTCGTCGTCCAACTGACGCCGCATCGAGACCGCTTTCCTCGGCCGCTTCCGGCGGCCGGGCCCCGTAGTCCAGTGGTTGTCAAGGGAGGCCCGGTTCGGCATGGAGGGATGAATCTGGCCGTTACACTCCTCCTCATACCCCTCTGACACACCGTCCCCTAGGATACGTTAGCGACTGATGGCCTAGATAAATTTGCTACGCTTCTGAAACTCACTCCGTGATGCTTGGCGGATGAACCGGAGGAATTTGGCGCGGGTAAAGACCTGGTTGATCTGCTCCTCCGGCATGCGGCTGGGTCCCGAGAAGTAGGTGAGGGTCCCGTCCTTGGTGTAAGTGGCCAGGAAGAAGGCGTCAAAGGGGATGTTGCAGTGCTCCTTTAGGGCTCTGGAAACCGTCTGCGGCCAAGTTAGCTGTGTCCTGCGTATGCGTCGAGGGGGAAGAGGAAAACATGAAAGCATACCAAGGGTGGGGAGCGTCTTGGTGAGTTCGAGAGGCCGTCGGTGCTGCCCATGTTCCAGGGGCGAGCACAGGTAACACAGTGCTCGCTCTTTACGGTGACCATTGTGCTGGTGAATCAAAGATCTTCGCAGTGGTAGAATAGACAAACGTCTCAAGGGAAGAGTTGGGATCCGAGGTTTTGGCGGTCTCTCCTGGAGAGAACGGTGCTGCAATGTGAAATGGAAAGTACACGAAGCGTTCCTCAGAATATATCTGTTGGTCGTGGCTAGACTGAAACCGAGATCGAGTCGTTTGCGAGATAGCGAGACACGGAGGCTGTGATGCGCGTGTCCGTCGTCGATGAAGCTGGGCTTCAGCTTAAAGAAGAGACTGGATCAAGATGGCCCGAGGCACAAATGAGGCTGTCCGGTGAGGGAGACCGGGGCGATGACAAAGGCCTGTCAGAGACCGAAATTAAGGGCTTTTGCAGTTTATCGAAACGGCACCAGCGGGAGAGGGTAAGTCTCGAACAACTATCTTAGCTGTCGGAGCGTATGGCCTGGAGCCGGAAACCTGCAGTTAGCTTTCTTTGTCTGTCCATGCAGCCGTAAGACGTGATGGAAAGAAAACTGACCAGTTATGTAGGACAGCTGTAAGCCGTCGATAAGGATATTAGGGGAAGAGGCGCGAACCAAGTTTCAGTGAATGGAGACGAATGTGGAGGTGGTAGTCTGTTGTTGTGTGGTGTTGTGGTGTGTTGTGGTGTGTTGGGTGTGTGTTCCCTGTGTTGTGTGGTCGCGGCGTGGTATGGTCGCGGCGTGGTATGGTGTGGTATGGTGATGTGAGGTGAGTTGAGGTGAGGTGAGGGTGCGTGTGTGTATTTGTGTGGAATCGTGCGAGTGGTGTGATGGTGTCAGTGTCAGCTCTGGAGGGCGCCCCCTACCTAAGAAGGATCCTTGGGCGCAAGGATCAGAGGCGAGCGGTGGCTGCTAGGGTCTTCCGGAACAACAGAGCCAACGGGCCAACGAGCCAACAGAGTAAGGCGGGGGGGGAGGGGTGAGCAGGCGGCTGATCCCGAGCAACGGTGGATGTCACTTGAGAGACCTCAAGGTGTGTATTGGGGAAGTCCCGCAATCAGATGGGTGATGAGCTCTTCTTAACCGAGGTCTCGGGGTAGGGGTCTGGTTTGGTGATCGGGAAGACAAGATACCCGGACTTTTGAGAAGGCCGTGAGTGAGTTGAGAGCTAGTTATTCGAGAAACTGGAGGACGGCTATCTTTGCCGTATCAATGGTGGCTAGTTGTTCTTCCCCTCCTTCTGCTTCTTTAGAGTATTTGCTCTGTACCTCACGAACGTGTCAGACCAACTGCTCGAGGATAACCGGCGTTGTTCGATGAGCTGTTGAGGCCCTTTTTGCCGTTGACGAGGTCCCAATTGTTGGAGAAGCCCAGACTCAGAAGGTTAGGCTTGATGAAGCGGTCGTCCAGGGTGCTCATAGGCGAAATAGTCGGAGGAACAAGGTGGATGATTTGGTGGAGATGACGGTGCGTTCTGAGACACGGGACGCGGACCAGTCTAGGCCAGTAGAAAGTGATGGTTCATGTACTATGAAAGAGCTCTCGTGTAGGTTCCTGGAGCGGATGTTCGAGTCTAAGCTCAGGATGAGGAGAAAGGCGACCTACAGCTGGAAGATGAGAGGCGAGGCATGGCAAAGAAATATACTAGCGGCGGTTGAGCTCGGTTTCTTCTTTGACCTCGAGTTCACCGTTGCACCACTGCGTCTTGTGCAATCAAGCAACATGTCTAGTCCCATGCCATGTTGGCCGTTTGACTGTCGAGAAACAGCGCGAGAGGAGGGGCCGCGTCCTAGTAGCCTCCTGCGTACGGGAGCTGGCTTGCGTTTCACTCGGCCCACATAAGCAAGCAAAGCCTGCGAGAGTGGTCTTGCCCATGACCCAGTCCCAGGAAGCGTGGCCGACTATTATCGCACTGTCTCTTGTAGCTGGAAGTCAAGCAATGGGGGTGTAACGGCCGAACGTTTTCCATGTCTTGCTCAAAACGGAGTAGGGGCGAATGCAGTGACACGGAGGAAAACAGGACTTGTCCACTGACGGTCGAGGACACGCAAGGGACTGCCGTTTGCCGTTGACTGGATCACCTTGGACTAGCCTACTTAGTCGCCCTGTCTCGGTTATCCGCCGAACTAGCTGCTGCTGCTTGGCCGAGAGGGTGCCTATAAAACACCCCCAAGATGTCAAAAGTCAGCGACGGGCTAGAGTGAAATACGCTCGAAGAGGGAAAGAAAAGGGATTGGGGGTGCGAGGGACCAAAACCATCCCCGTTTTGGACTGAAGAGCAGGAGGGGTGTGGTTTCTGAACCCCCCATTGCCCCCCATTGCCCCCACACCATCCCGCAATACCATGCCCGTCATCAGGAAACAGAGAAGGATACCGGTACCGTCAAGTCTGATGATGGCCCTGCAGTGGAGATCCGGGACCTCAGAATGAGATCCTAGCTTGTCTCCGCTTTCCCATTTTCCTGGAGAAAACCACCCCCGAGCTGAGACGCAGAAGCTACATCAAATCGCCGACTTCTCGGCCACATCCCGGTCAATACAGTCACACATAACGTCGACTTCCCCTACCCCCCGGCCAGTGTTTTTATTTTTGGGCAGCTTGCGCACCTAATATCTTAGCTCGTCCTTGGGGTGGTGATCAAGGTAAAGACGTTCTTCCAGCACGACAATAACCGCGATAGATGGCGACGCGGTAGTAGGACGAGATTAATAGGGACGAGTAATTCCGGTAACCGTCCAACAACCAACATCAGCTGACCTTGGGCAAAACTTGCTAGCTTCTAATTAGGAATTCCCGGGACATTCGTTTCCTCGTCTCGGCCGCAGCTAGGGAAATCGAAGATCTCGATTCAGAATGAGCTAACAACAAGGTGCCGGAACCCTGTTTGCGCTTCCTTCTTGATCCAAAGCTCATGTTGTACATTTAAGCGATGCCCTGCAGGGTGGGTTTTCAAGTGGTTGCTTCGTCTTAGCACCCCTAGGAATCATAGTTAGTGCAGAGGCCTGTCTGCCTTCGTCGCCGTACCCCCAGAACGGAAGAGGCTGAGACGGGGATAGATGGGTTTATGCCTGAGCATAGTGACAAGCCCGAATGCGGCTGGTCTTAAGTAACTTGGGTGTTGCCGATGACCCGTCCTTATGGTACGATATTTTCGTCCCTTCGATCTTCAAGCTCCCTGAAAGGTGTGAGGATCGACCCCTTGACGTTCTTGGGTGTCCAGTGCGGGCATGGCGGGCCAGTGACAAGCCCCCGCTGATGCGCAGCGGGGATGCTTTGAAGATGGTTGTCGATCGGGGACTCATAATCCTTGCATGGGCGGGCCGGGGACCTCAGTCCCACATCGCCCACCAAACATTGCTGTTGGCCAAGAGCTCATCACCCTGGTTGCTGCTGCTGCTGCTGCACAACCGCCCATGGGCCCGGGTCGTTCCCGATTGAACGCAGGAGGCTTGGAGCGCGATGGAGCGGAGGTTGGTTAATGCAGAGAGACGGGCCGGACACTTCGAGGGAGGGTTCCGCTGTTTGGCTTTTTGCAAACGGCCGGCCCATTGCACAGGCGTTCCAAATGTTTCGAGCTTGCGGAAGCCGTCGTCGTTCGTGGGCGGAGATTTTAGGCGGAGATTTTGGGCGGGTACCTTAGCCTAGCGTAGTGTACAGCAGGTACAGTACCCGGGAAGCCGAGCCCAGCAATTCACAGGCAAAATATGTACTGTGAGCATGTCTGCCAAATCTGAGGTACGAAGGAAGCCGAAAACAAAACGCGAGGCAAAGCATTGGATGGGGAGACGAAATGTCGATAGCAGATTCCTGCAGATCAAGACAACCCCCGATCTGATCAAATCCGGACACTCGTGTAACGTACCTGCCTCGTGCTTGGGCTTTCGGCCCAGATGCCCGGGCCGGCGGGCGGTGGTGTCATCAGCCACATCAGGCACACCAGTGCTTTTTCTATTTGCAACCCTCCGTCCCGGGGAAAGGTGGAAGGCCGAAGCTACAGTGGGTGTGCTCGGTAGTTCCTGTCACACAGGACATGGGACATTCCTTCCCGGGCGTCCATCTCCAGCTTTTGTGTCACCAACGCTACGACCGTGCCCGAAGGTGAGAAGGAAAGCGCCACCCGAATCACGACCGATACCTCTATGAGGGTCGAAGACACACAGTAATGCATAGGGCGCACCCAACACGGAAGCAAGACGGGAGCGGAAACTAGAGCGGAAGCATGACATGGCATCGTGGGGGTTGAAGAGTGGAGGGGAAAGAGCGGCCCGCCTGAATTGTTCCCCGGCGAAACTAGGAGATTTTGCTCCTGACTCTGCCTAAGTGGCCGTGTCTGCCAATTCCCAACTCCACGAAGCGTCGCCTTTTAACACAGTATGGAATGCCCAACCGTTGTTGAATGCATGTAGGAAGTGAACAACATTCGGCAAGACACCCATGACAACCCGAGAGGGCACCCTCATGACTTTGACCCATACTAACACTCTAACTAGTCGAGGCGGCCTCTTACTTAGCAACTTTACAACATCCGGTTTCCTAGAAGCTCGAAGATGTTTGCCAGGCGGTTCTCGGAACAGCGCTTTCTTGCTCCGAGCTGTGCATGCGCTGAACTTCCGAGACGACAACCTCATTCACCTCAAGTTTTAGAGCTCCGTCGCATGAGGGATGACAAATGAGCCGGTGCCGCTTGTGCAAAGAAAAAAACTGTCGATCAATCTGGGCGCCTTTGGCTGACACGAATTGCCATCTAGTTAGTGTCAAATACTGAGTGTTTCTACTATTCAGGTCCCGATTCGGCGCCCGTCACACGTGTCCCCGCGCTAAATCTCGGGACGACAACTCGAGGGATGAATGTGTCGCTGCATCACCGGAGCAAACCCCTATTGTATCCCCAAAAGGGATTGAGACGCCTTTACCCTCGCGCTGAGGCCCCAACCGCCTTACACGGAGTCTCGTCCGATTGAAACCCCAAAAGAGCGAAGACTGCGCATCATCTACGGATACTCCGCTCCAATATTCCCCCCAATGCTCTTTTAACGAGTTAGTCGCTACGAACAGCAAAATGAAACTGCAAATGGAAAAGGATGCTGCGTTTGGAAAAGGGGAGAAACATATTCGACTTGGCAGCACACACGGCGAGATGACCCTGACAGGCTGCGCTAGAGCAGATGGAGTACATACATACACGTGGGCTCATCCACGACTCTCAGGGAAACCGTCATTAAATTAACTCGTCTTCCATGACTCGGCGCAAAGGGAGGTAGCTTGCGACACCGCTGTCGCATGACGTGTGGCAGCCGCGTGCTCCCATCGGGATGCCCATGGTGATGGAGGATTAATCAGGGCCATGTTTGCCCTGGTCGCCGACCTGAACCCCGACGGGGTTTGAAATCAGCGAACCGCGACTCGTTCTTGTCTTGACAAGGGCGGGAAACCCCGAACCAACTGCTCCGGAAGCCCCACTAGCTGGCGAGGAGACGACAAGACGTCGTCCTTCCTCTTGTCTTGAACGAACCAACAACACGCCTGCAAGGACTCTGACCTCCCCGCGAGGTGGGTTGACAAGGCGGCACGCGGCAGTCAATGTCACTCGCCGGGGCATGCACAAAAAGGTGGTGGGGTAGGGGAGCGCGAAGGCGGTTGCACAGCAGCTCTCATCGTCTCCCCGCCCTAAGCCCGTTCCAGATTGCCTTGCATCCGGGAACACAGCGCTGAAGCCTTCCACAGCAAAGATGTTCTCGATGCCGCAGCCAAGAAGCCCCACAGGTCTCAGCGGGGGCTATCGAGATCCATGCCCAAGACGTGTGTGTGGGCTCGCTAGCAGACGTTAACGGTTGGCCATTTCCAGCTGCCCGAGACAAGGCACGAGGCACCCCCGTTCAAGGCTCATCAAGCTGTCAAGCCGACCTGCCCTCCGTTCTCCAGATCGCCATCAGCAACGCCAACAAGAGAACGAACCACCCTGCGCCCCCCGATCCAGATGAACGAGCTCTCCCAGGTTTCCCCCCCAAAGCGGCCCCCCAGCCAGTAGTTAACCTAGTGGGGCCTGGGCTCGCTCACATGGTTCCTGGCGTCTGCGGGATTGGACCCACGCGGCGCGTCTTAATTTTTTATTGGCAACATTAATCGCCCAAATGGGCGAAGGCAGACTCTCCCCTTGAAGGAGCCCTGTTGCCCTTTCATCGTCATCATCGGTTTTTTTTCTTTAAGGTGTTGGGACTTTTCACCCCGATGCCCCCCACGGCCGTTTGACAGGCTAACTCGACACCTTTACAGTGTTAGCGGCGGCTCCAGCGTCCAAAGCCGCGATTCGTTCTTCATAGTCTACACCACCCAAAAAACATTAGCGGCATAAGACCGGCAAGTGATATCCGGTCCGTCCAACTTCATGATAATATTCCGCCGTTTTGCCCGCCCGCGGCCCGCACCATACTGAAAAATCTCGCACAGCTTGAGATCGTATCGCCAGAGCTCACCCCCAACCACAGCAATCCCAGATCACGTCTCAGCAAACCCCTTAGCTCACCCCCTGAACGCACCCCCCCTTCCCCCAAATAGTAACGGCAGTGGCTTGAACCAGTGTCACCAACGCAGCGCAGAATCTCAGACTGAGACCCACTGGGCGTTGCTCTGTTCCGTGCTACCAACCCCTTGTTCTTAGGGATTACATAGTCCACGACTTTGGTCCCCTGGACTCCTGAAGGCATCACAAGCTGCCTGAGTCCTCACGAGGGGTGGCCGCACGTCCCTCTCGTATTCTCCGGGCCCAAAGGTGGCGTTGATCATTCTGTGCTCGCTCAGGCAAACTGCGGCCAGCAACGGCATATCTCGAAGAGACAAGGATGAGGATGGTTCCGCGAGAGAACTCACGTTACATGTGTAGTGGCACGACGCCTAGGTGGTCTAATCGGGTTCCGGCGTTGGGAGGTAATATACTCTCAAGCTGGAAGCATCGACAGAGGACAGCCACGGCACTGGAAGCGATTGGCATTGCGGTGACAAGGCAACAGGCAGATAATCCCACAGAGTCCCAACACGACAAAGTAGAGCAATGCACAGTAGAGCCGCAGCCATGGCTCCTGTGCATATCAGAAGGAGAACGTCACGTCATTTGTGATCGGCCAACCTCGCAGCTCTCATGAAACTAACTACCCTGGTCCCCGTCTCTTCTCCGGAGAAGCACTCGCGAATCTCAGACCCGTCTCAGCCGTCCTGCCGAATTTTCTGAAAGAGATCTCGTCAGGAGCCAACAGCCTTAGTGTACATACACAGTAGGTTGGAGTTTCCCAATTTTGAGGTCTCTCGCCGAGTCACGCCGCAGAGGAACAGCACGCAGTGGTCCACTCGGAATCCGCGTCGATGGACAGGATAGCAATCCCTTCCCACTTTAGCTTCAATCTCGTCGTGGGCATCACCAACAAGCCGCTTTCCCAACACGGAAATGGAGGAAGGTTGAGCGTCACTCTTTCCCGATCGAGTGACCGCCGTAACGCTTTTCCGCCACGGACCTTGCATCATCATGATCTCCGGATGACACGCACAGAAGAGAATCACGTCCCCATGGCGCCCCCCAACGCCGAGGACGCCTCCCAGATCACCCCAAGCCGAGTTCCCCGTGCTCGCCGACGCCAACGTAGTTACACCAATCGGACGTCGAGGAAGTAGAACCGTTGACAATTGGGCCAACGAGAGCTGCGGCCTTCTCAACGGCCTCATCCACTTCGCCTCGCTTCCCCTTGCCGGATCGACTTCTCCGCAAGGCCTTTGCCCATCAGCCCACCTAGGCTGCTCAGACCCTAGTTCTTTCCCACTTCGTTGTTGTGCCTAGTGTACACTACACGATTCTTGTTATCAACACCAACAATGTAACAGAGCAGTGGGGGTGGAGAGGAGGGGTGGGTGGATGCTCAGGGCCAAGTTGGAGCTCGCGACACACAGGAGCTAGAATCAGCCATGACTTATCCGTCTCGCACCAGATCTTCTTTACGCTCACCGGTTACTCTGTGCGGCCGTGGCTGGCGTTCGGCTCGGCTCGGTTGATCCGTGGAATATGCGCGGATGGATCTAAGTCTAAGTCGTTAAAATTTCGGTTCGTCTGGTGTGGCTGCTCTGATCTAAATCAGACGGTTTTGAGCTGGCTAGGGCGCGGCTACACAGCAGGGACCCGGGGGGGG